AATTCATATGAGACAAATTTCATTAAAACAGAGTGAACAGCAAGGGTGGCAATCTGAAAACTGAGAGTTGCTTTTGTAGAACCTCCAGGGGACCTTCAAGAATGTTCCCAGATGTTTCCCTAAAGGTTATTTAAAAACAAAAAAACAAACTTAAGGGAACCTCCAGGAAAAGCTTCATAAAGGTTTTCCTCTAGAATGTTTTCACATTTCTAATTGAGTAAGGTTGCGCTTTGCTGGGTGAAAGTGTGAAAATTTTACAATTTTTCCAAGTGCGCTCCAGAGCATATCTAGTTTTAGGAAAGTGACAGGAGCAACTAAAATCTAACGAGTTCTGCCTTAGAGAGGTAGTTTTTGCACCTTGCTTACAAACAGACGAGACGACACCTGTTACATACCGGAGTCAGCTTTTTTTTTTGTTTTACTTACTTTTGCACTCCGTTTTTAAATAGTTGAGAAATCCGTCACATCCTTTTCACCAGGGGGCGCTGTGGCCCGGCTATCCACTGGAAGGTCTCGTTCCTCATTTTCACCCCGGCAGCCAGCGGCTTTCACATCCGGGCGGCTCTCTTGCGCCTCTTCAATCGCAATCCGCTTCCCTTCCCTGCGCTCTCGACTAGGGGAGGTCCGCAGGTGCAGAAGAATCCCCTTGAATCGCGGGGTCTCTGTGAGCGTGTGGCACCGGGCCTCCGAGGCGCTGCTTACCCCGCACAGCCGATCGCACATGACGCTGTCTCCACCGATGGTGGTGCACGGCGCCGAGCGCTCCCCGTCGGTGCGACATCCTCGCGCTCAAGTAGCATCGCAGGCTACCGTTAGCTAACATCATCGATCTCTCCGCTACTCCACCCCCTCCTCTCCCCGAGATCGATCCCCACTGTCGATCCATCACATCGGCTTTCGGTTGATAGCGAACACCGGCCCACGGTGGGCACCCCTCATTCCCGGACCAGCGCATGAAGGCCGCCTGTTTCTCCTCGGATTTGGGGCCCGCAAAGAGCAACGTTAGCCTCGGAGTTTAGACCCGTAATTTTTAGACCACCGACCTCCTTTCCAGCCCCCTCTGTGGCCTTTCAGGGGTCCGGTTCTTCTCTACCTCAGTGCCCCGATGCTTCCCTATCCCTGTGTGTAACCTCAGCTGCTAATCACTCCAAGATCCACCACCCCCTCCCCGTCTCTGCTGCTTCTGTTAACCCCACCAAGGAGTGCTGCTCGGCGGGCAGTGACTGCGGCTTTTCCCGGCGGACATCCCTGGTTTTCTCATCATCCCTGCCTCCACTTTTCTGACTCTGGTTGCTTTTCTCTGCACGATAGCTGGCTGGCCAGCTCCGCTTTACACCCACACACGTTATCCCCATTCATACAACCCCCCCACCCCACCCCCCATTTTAGTCTGCCATCCACATCCCAGCAGATCTCCGTGACAGGCGCCCCACGGCACCCGAGCCACGGGTCTCGCCATGCCGGGTCCGGTGGCCGGTAGCAAAGCCCGTGTGTACGCAGACGTCAACACGCTGAAGACCCGCGAGTACTGGGACTACGAGGCCCACGTACCCAACTGGAAGTGAGGACATTTGTGATTACTGCAGCGTGCATGATAATCGTATGATAAAGGATTTCTGTGGAGGGGAAATGTGGCAGATGGGCGTCTATTATTATACATTTAGCTGTGAGGGTGTGATGACACCATGTCTCCCAACCTTCAAGCCTGCTGTTCTTCACTGTCTGACACTTTCCTCCTCCTCACCTCCATCTCTTTCACCTATCCAGCCTGACTTGTATAACATTTTGGCTTGGTATCAGAACCAGAAGTCAGCGGTAGAACATTTAGAATCAGCTTATAGACTGGCTTAATTCTATGTATCTGGAAAAAAAAATTCCTCTCTCCTCATACTCCTGTTTTTCTGGCTGTCCCTATAGCAACCAGGAGGACTACCAGCTGGTTCGAAAGCTGGGCAGAGGGAAGTACAGCGAAGTGTTCGAGGCTATCAACATCACCAACAATGAGAAGGTGGTGGTCAAAATCCTGAAGGTGAGCAGATTGATTGGGACAGCACTGCCATCATGGGCATTTTTATTACATTTTAAAGAATAACTATTATTTAATAATATTTTATTGCCAAATATATCTGCATCTGTTGTGAAAAGCTATTAGATAAATACACAGACTGTATATAAAAGGTGGGAGAATTCTGTGTAATGGTGTATGCATTCGCCTATGCTAAAGATCCTGAGTTCGATCCCAACAGGTAATAAAAATCTCTCGGGCATTGCATTAAGTCAGATATGTGGATCTACCTGCTGTAGTGAGCCCTTGTGAATAGGGGAGTAGCTAAAAGTAGCTTTTAGTACTTAAATACTACAATTTCAACAAAACTCAGGGATAAACTTGTTATAGCACATTTAAATCCATATCAGAGAATTCAATTAAAATGCTCCTAAATCAACAGCACAAATGAGCTTGAGAGTGATGTTGGCTACAGCTCTTTGCATTGAGGTGCATTTCACCCCTATATAGTTGTTATGAAAATGGATTTTAGCTCTTGAGAACAAAACAGTCTCCTGTAGCACAAAGCAAACATCCTTATTTTTGCTGTAAAGTTTGGTCATTTAACACGGAAGCCTTTTGGGATCGATTTACTTCTGGAACAGGCCTCAAGTGGCCATTTAAGGAACTGCAGTTTTTGGCCGTGGAGATTTCTGCTTCAATGAATGTGAATTTTAAGAAAACCTCAAAGCAGAGTTTGACCAGCTGATGATGTATGACCGCATAAATAATTGTTAAATTAATGAATAAAGAAGATATAGCTTTTTTTAGTCTTGAGTATTTCCTGAATAATTAGTCTTTCGCTAGGCTAGGCAGGTTATTCCAAACATCCCTTTGCCTGAGTACGTTTTCCACCTCTTCCTGGAAGATCCTGAGGTGCTCCCAGACCAGATGAGATGTCTAGTTTCTCCAGAGAGTTTTAGGTCAGTTGGGCGTGCCCTGAAAACCACCAAAGGAAGGCACCTACCACGCTTGGGGCAGCAACTCTTCCCCCATCATTTTGCAGCAGAGAAACCTGGCCTCAGTCGTGGTGTTGCTGACTCTTATCCCAGCTGCTTAAATGAACCCAAAGACATAATTCTTAAAATTGTGGCAGCGTGAAAGGATTATTTTTTGTCTTAAACCCTGCTAATGGGCTGAGACTGTGTAAGCTGAAAATAGATGCACCTTAGCTTTCCAGTTTTCCTGCATTTATCAAGTTTAGATTACATGTTTGTTGAATTAGTGATTAAAAAACTCCAACATTAGAGTCCAAAGTGAGATGTTTGATTTTTTTTCCTGACAAACATTTTGCCAGATGGAAAAAAAAAAACTAAACTTGGGCCCCCTGCCCGATCGCCTAAACAGCTAGCGGGCTAGTAATGGCAGCTCTGGGTCACTCAATCACTGCTGATCTGGAGCTAATTGCAGCCCTGCAGTTAAGCCAGCAGGCAAAGCCCCCTGCTGCTTTTGGAAAATCCCAGATGAAGATTAACGAAGTTGGTGCCAGCAGGATGATGACGTGTGGTTACTGTGCTGCAGAGAACTGCCAAACATTTGCATCACATCAGTAATAAATATAACTAATGATAAAGGCCAATATGGGAAATAACCAAACTCCTTAAATGAAGTGCTGACACAAAGCTCCATTTGTAAGACGTCGGTGGTGCTAACACTAAAACCGGCTTTGATTGACTGGCTCTACTACTGCTGCCTCACTACTGGTGGATTAAGCTAATTGAGTGCACAACATTCACATATCCAAGTTCCTTCTTAAAAACAGCCAGTAGAGTCTTCTTTTTCTGCTCGGATCACAGCATAAATATCTAGATTTTTAGCTGTAGACCCTGCGTTTGATTCGTCTTTGTCTTGTCACAGTTAGTAGTCACTATTTAACATGGTTACTAAACAACTATATGACTAAGTGCAAGAGGTCTAACCCCTAAAAAATTGAGTGATGCCTGTGACAGATGAGGATTAGCTGACAGTCACTTAAATGGAAACCTCCGACTGAGTGAAGCTAAGAGATGCTGAAGAATGCAGCAGCAGCGACAGTGCAAGCAGAGTCAGCAGATATGAGGCGGGAGTGAGAAGAAGCAGCAGGGCAGCAAACCTTTCACATTTTACGTCTTGTCCTCTGCTGTTTTTCATTTATTCTGAGACTGCTCTGTTAAATCTTTTTATTAAATCTGGCTGTTTTGTTTTTCATGCTTGTTTTAGCCGGTCAAGAAGAAGAAGATCAAGCGAGAGATTAAAATCCTGGAGAACTTGCGAGGAGGGACCAATATCATCCGTCTGGTGGACACAGTGAAAGACCCAGTGGTAGGCTTGCTAATGGCATGTTTATGTTTTTATGAAGTGTCAAAATGAATCGAGATGTAAAACTAGGGCTAGAGTATGAGCAGCCACAATGTCAGCCACTAGATTAAAGCTCCGTCTTTCTGCCTTCTTTGTTTCCCCGTCATTCTCTCAAGAAAACAAACTGTCCCAAGCTCGCAGCATTGTGAATAATTACATCTATATTAGGTCTTTGATTTAATGTCAGTCAAATAAGGGATGTGCCATTCTCACTGTTACTTTCCCCCAGATTAAAATGAGTAAACTGGACTGACTGGAACCATTTTTTTCAGCTACAAGTTGGTGTCAGTTTAGAAGCTGCAGTGTTTACCTTGAATACTTCCAAGGCAGCCATGTTGTTCTTCCCATTGTATGTTTGGAAAATTGCTGCACTTCTTGGTGAATTGCATTTGCTGACTGTCGGTGAGTGGAGAAGTGTGGAACTAATGGTACAAAAAGATTTTGTAGTATGTTTCAGCTCCATAGGTATTCACACTGTTGTATTATTATTATTACAGCCGGTTCCCTCTTGTTTTGTTTTCTTTCGGGGCGGTGTTGAGCCAGAAGGAAGTAAACGCTAGCTGCTCTGGTTAGAAATATGCAACTGTAGGTTTTCTGGTTGCATCACACAGAAATGCATGTAAAGGATGATTTGCTTCGCCTCATAAGTGCCCCAGCACCACTTGACACGGTGACGACGTTCAGTTTGGTGACGAAAATGATCTAAAGCGAGGCTGTTGTGGCGTTTCATTTGCCTCTGAAGACGGATGGTTGAGCTGGGAGTGACTTTACTCTCAAACTGTATTCCAGTAGTGAAGTTGGAAAAGCAAGGAAAACACGATTTGCTTTGCTCCTTAGTGAGGTCGAGCTCTTCGTGCATCAGTAGAAATACAACACGGTGCTCTTTTTGTGCTTAAAAAGGTGCTGCAGCACATTCACGGACAGTGCCTGATCAATGCTCTGCGTACGGCTCATTTAGCGAGTCACAAATGCGCTGCTCTGACTCGAAATCCTACTTCAGGGGCATCGCAGTTGAAAACTGGGAAGTTAGACTTCAGCTGGAACTCAGTGTAGCGTATGAGCTCGTCAGCACTGAAAACAGCCATGGTCTCTATCATGCTAAATTCTATACATCAGTATAATTAAAACTTATGAGTTATCAAACAAAATAAATAATTAAATAACCTCCATGCAGTCGTCATAAAGGGGTAAAGTAGTCGTAGAAACAGCGCCGTCGTCATAGCAAGCTTGTTTGCCTGCTGCTGTAAAGTTGGATATTTTAACACGGCCAGCTGTGTGAAATCATTTGCTTCTCTTTTGTTTTGTTTTTGCCTCAAGTGGCCATTTGAGGAACTGCAACTTTTCTTTTTAGCACCTGGATCGCTGGTTTATTGTGGCATTGTGTGATCACCTGAGCATTTGTTTGTTCGCATGACAAATACAGCAGGAAGCCCCTTACGACATCGTTGTCTTTAGCAAATGATAGACTCTGTGTCAGCACGAGAAACAAAGTAATCTTATAATTCCAGTTTTGCTGTAATTACCGTGTGATTGTTTTGGCTCTCAGCTTCCCATCGGACCTAAAATTTGTGGCGTTTTAATTTTTGTTTTGTAGTCAACAGAAGTTTTATCATTTGACCACTTATTTGTTTCTATATTCTGTGTTTTCAATCTGAAATCCACCGCGACGACCAGACTGGATATCTCCTTTTTACACTTTTCTGAGCTGGGACACATCAACCGACCAGGAAGGAAGGATATTTTTAGGCAGTGGAAATGCTCTGACTAAGCCAGGAGGCCTTGTTCCAGTGCAGCGGTGGGAACCCTGCGGGGTCCTTTGTCTGTTTGTTCCTGTGAACTTCATTGGGTTAGAAAATGATCATTGTATGCACAGCTTTTGGAGTGCACGGCTGAGTATCAGGGATGATTCAAATGGTTGTATCGTTCGTCCTGTTTGGGTTGAAATCACACGGTGGGGGCTGCCAAATCACTGGTTTATCAGGTGATTGAATCAGAAATAAGTGTTTTCCTGATTTATATATTTCTCTCTCTGTGGTGTTAATTGTTTGTTTTTCCTCCTGATTTCTCTCCACACCCTTCTCATGCTCTCTGTGGTGGCTGTATAGTCCAGAACGCCAGCACTCGTCTTTGAATGCATCAATAACACAGACTTCAAGGTACAATCCTCGCCTCTTTCCTACATTGCTCGGTGCCAAGTCTCTCATAGCTGCAATCAGTAAGGCTGAAAGAGCAGCAAACCTCAGTGCTTATTTGTGTTATTTTTCTCCCCCTGCAGGAGTTGTACCAGAAGTTGACAGATTACGATATCCGTTTCTATATGTATGAACTACTGAAGGTGAGACATCTCAGCTTTAGTAAACATCGTAGTTTTTACATTATTCTACTTTACAGAAACAAAATAATTTCACAAACACCAAAAACTACCAGTGTCAGTGTTGTTAGCCCCCTCGTCTCCTGACCTCCGGACCTTGGTCTTCAGTTCACCCCGCAGATTTCAAGTCAGGACTTTGTGCAGGCCAGTCAGTAACGTTCACTTTGGTCTTCTAGAAGTCGTTCTTCATCAGGAGCTACATATGTTTTGGGTTTTGTTGTGTAGGAAGACAAAGCGATGACCCAGACCCAGTTTCACTCCTGACTGCTTGAGGGTTTCTTTGAAAATCTTCACAGATCCCTCTTCCTTTTCTTGATTCCTTCCACCTCAACGATATTCCCGGTTCCAGACTCGCCAACCTCCACTTTGGGGACGGTGCTTTTCCTCCAAATATAAGCAGTGTCTCTCTGCAGTATATATAAACTTTCTTTAGGTCATTAAAGTTTTAAACTGTGTACAAATATGACGATTAACCTAATTTTACAAGCTTTGAGTTTTACCAATTTAAAGGACGTCATTTCGCAGCAGTGTGTTTTGTTATGGCTTAATGAAAAGGTCTGTTTTTCAGGGGGCTAATAATATTGTCTATAATATTTCTGTTATAGAAATAATTAATCCTGTCTAAAGAAAACTAGTGAGTTAAGAAATGCTATCTTGAAAATCTGTTCTGTTTACCAAAAAAAGAAGCACTTTAATACCTTTTTATGTTGGTGTGTATGTGTGTGTGTCAGGCTCTGGACTACTGTCACAGTATGGGAATCATGCATCGTGATGTCAAACCTCACAATGTGATGATCGACCACCAGTTGAGAAAGGTAGGCAGTGCTCTGTGTAGTCTTATTTTGTTCTCCCCTCACACCCCCACACTCACCCTCCCTCACTGGTTATTTTCACCACGGCTTTTCATTCCCATCTTTTGTTATCTCCCTTTTTTTTTTTTCCCATTTTGAAAAGGAGTTGTTATTGCATTAGCGTGGGCTTTCAAATACGCAGCATCCCTGCGCGAGCGCATTAGGCATGAGAACCTTAAAATAAACACAGATGTAATTTCCATCTACGTAAATGTCAGGCTCACTGCACACTGTTGGTGCATTTTCATTAGCTATTAGAATCAGATAATTAAAGCGTTTATGATCATCAGTCTGCGGATGCCTCCGGTCACTTTTTATAGGTTATGATGTTACTTAAAAAAACAAGACCTTTCCAACTCTCTCGGTTACTTCTAACAGCATGTCGTCCTACGTGTATGTGAAGGACTGTGGATCTATTTTCTGTCGAGAGTCGCTTGCTCCCGAGTGCCTTTCTCCGTCTCTCTCGTCTCTCTTCCACTTCCAGCGTGAGGAGTGAGCAACACTAACAGAAAGGAAATCCACTAATCAGCACAGCACATCACAAACGCCACAACAAATCAAAAACTGGTCTGCTTTAACTGCTCACAGCTTTAGTGACTTAAGGTTAGGCGACTCGCTGCCACACTGGTTATGGATTATTTTAAATACATGAAGATAGTTACTTTGATCCCACAGGGGAAATAATTGTTTAAAAGCAGCAGGATAAATAATAAAAACAGTACAATTTTCAATAATTAAATAATGTAGTTAAAGTAAAAGTGCCACAGGCTCATAGTGAAGCTTTATAGATGGAACAGGGATAAAATGTGGTTAAACTAAAGAAGAGTAAAAAATAAGACTGAGATTGTGCAAAGTGTAATAATAAATATGTATATGGTAAAGAAAGAAGCAGTCTAAAGTCTGCCTGGACAAATGTTGTGGGCATGCTACAGTCAAGTCTTAAAATGAGTCCTGTGGGAAAAACTAGGTGCTCCTTCCTGCTTCCATATGAATTATGAGGATAAGTAACAGAATGCACCTGAGTGGTCATCAGCAAATAGGAGCGCTTCTATTAAAACAGACACTTTTTGCAGTGTGCTGGTCTGGAGCATTCAGGTGTATGAATGCACCTGCAACCCACAGGCTACATCTCAGTCTACAGGCCTCAGTCAGCATATTAAAGGTTAAAGTTCATGACAGCACAATTAGACAAACATTGAATCAGGTGTGGCTTGTTTGGAAGTGTGACCAGGAGAGAGTACGGTGGCCCTGAGAGGTCAAACAGACTGCAACATAAGAAGACACCAGCAAATAGAAACATTGTAAAAGCTCACAAACCTCTGGGGACCAAATAACGTTACAGAACAGTGGTGGAAGATGGCATGCTAACAGTAAACAGCTAATGGCGAACATGTATGTACAGTATTATATGAATACGTGATTCAAACACACATTGCATCTTTTCTCATTCACAGCACGGTTGAACCTTCTGCTTTGAGTGTTTTTGTTTCTGTCACTTCTGCCGCTGGACCGGCAAGTTATTGTGTCCCGAGAAAAACTTTCTGTTGTGCTAAATTCAACTTTTGTTGCGTTTTGTGCGCTTTCGCAGTGTTTGTCTATTTTCTGGTGGTTTCTTAAGTCGCGGTGTATTTGACGTCTCAGGGCCACTGTAGGAAAGGATGTTCTCTATAAAACAAGAACATCGCAGCATGGTTTAGGTCTGTAAAGTTGAATGTGAACAGATGAGATCGAAGTGAAAATGCTTGGTCACAACGTACAGCAGCACATTTGGTGAAAACCAAAGACAGTATATCAGCACAAATACCGCATATGCACTTTGGCGACAGCGGGAAGGAAAAATGTGAAGCGATTTGTCAATTTGGCCCAAATTGGAATAGAATAATGATCTCGAGCACAGCAGGATTGCTGAAAAAGAAAAGAATCCAGGTGCTGCAGTGGTCCAGTCAAAGTCCAGATCTCAACCTGATTAAAATGCTGTGTCAGCACCATGAGAGAGCCATGCATAAACAAATACCTGCAAATGCACTGAACCAACACTGAAAGGAAGAAAAGGCCAAAATTCCTCCAAAGCGAGACTGATGAAGTCATCAAAACATTAAAATTCCTGTATGCTCAGAGCAAAGTCATATTTAACTCTGACACATTTGGCATTTACAAGCCTTCACCGGGAAGTTAAATACATTTAATGCCCCAGAAAGCCTGCTTTCTAATAATGTAGTCACAATAGGAATCATTGACTAGTTTGACATTTTTCATTTTAAAGCCAGTAATATCTATATATCAGATAAGAAATTACATGTTTTATTTGTTTACATCATGTTTTTTGTTTTTGTTTTTGTGAAAGCAGTAGCAGATCCTGTTTCCTGATTGAAAACAATTCGGTTTTTAACGTTGCAACTTATGTAGGTCGAACTGCGATCTTGAGTTTACTCAGAAACGGCAGCGTCGCGGGAATAAAATCTGATGACAGAAGGGGAAAAAAATGGGTTGCTGCAGAAGTGACAGAAATCAAATTCATCAAAAAATGTTGCCAACAGTTAGCATAACAAAAATATCCAAAGGATGTCATCCTCTGTCAGTAAGACGTCTCAAAGGCACACAGGCATTTCCAGCAGTGCCACAAGGAAATGAGCAGCAATGTGAAGCTGAAATGCAGAAATCTGCGTGCAGCAGACGAAAAGCCGACTTCCCCTTGAAACGTGGAGATGTTTGGAACAAGCAGCCAAAGAGCCTTTTCTCTGAACTGGCAACAAAGTGCTCAAACTCAGCTACACACACAAAGCTCGAGAGCAGAAAAATGGCAGCAGGGAGTCAAAATTTGAAGTATTTGGTTTGAACAGACACGTTTTGTTCAGTGAGCTGGAGGGCACTACAAGGACGAGTTTCTGCAGGGAACAGTGAAGCTCAGTGGAGGCTATGCTGGGCAGAATATTCAGACTGCAGGTTTATCTTTATTACAAGAAAAGAAAAACAGACTGTAAGATGTCCAGTAGGGGGCAGCGGGCTCATATAGATGTGACTTCACCCAATTTACCCTTAAATTGCATTAACAGGATGTGTCTCTGCTGTGTGTGTTTTGTAGCTACGTCTTATAGATTGGGGTTTGGCAGAGTTTTACCACCCGTCCCAGGAGTACAACGTCAGAGTGGCCTCGCGATATTTCAAAGGCCCCGAACTCCTCGTGGACTACCAGGTAACACGCACACTGTTTTCTCACATGCGGCTAATTGAGATGTCTGTTTTTTCCTCATCTGCAGTGCTGTTTGACGATTGTGTGTTCCAGATGTATGATTACAGTCTAGACATGTGGAGCCTGGGCTGCATGCTGGCCAGTATGATCTTTCAGAAAGAGCCCTTCTTCCACGGACAAGACAACTACGATCAGGTGCCTGTCACACAAATTTTTATACGAGATGAGACAAAAGAGTAAACATGAAAAACTGATTCCATGCACACGTGCGTTAAAAAACTCAGAGGGTCTGCCTCGGCTCATGGCACAAACACACAGCTGTTTGTGGTGTTCTTTTCTCAGCTAAAGGTACTTTTTGTAATTACTTTTTGTAAAAGTAATTAAACCTTTCACCACCAGGGGTCCTCATTTTACCAGAAGGTTTCAGTGCAGTTGCTCAGTCTGATTTGGCTTCTGTGGGGAACCTTTGTAGAGCCTACAACGTAACCTGTGTAATAGACGATGTAGTGAGATCGTGACCTGATGTTTTCATATGTGGCACTAACTTATAAACCAATAAACGGCACGGTTTGTCGCTGAAGCATAATTGGGCGTAATAAATGCAGTAATTGGTCTGAGTTTCCCACAGTTTGGTAGCATAGAGTATATATTAAAAGATGGAGGTAACCACTGTCTTAAAGCTTGTGTGTTACATTTTTAATATTTTGGAAGGTGTTAAAAGTCGGCTCTGACATTTATGCTCTTCCACTGTTGTTTTTTCCAGCTGGTGCGAATTGCCAAAGTCCTGGGGACAGACGAGCTTTTCGG